ACAGCAGTAAACAGAATTGGCAATGGTAGACTACTTTGGTTCTGGTCTAGAGTTGTCTGTAAGGTGTTACTTGTCTGTCTCACCTCAACTAATCAAAATAAAATAAATCATTTGCGCAGATGCATGTGGAAATGGAAATAAAATAGTAATAATATTCGAGCACCAACTGGAACCTTCCTTCCCCTGTATACAATGTACCGATGAGCATAATCAAGCAGCGGTGTCTAAGGTGTGCATTAGCGGCCCACCCCTGTGCCCAGGAACTCGCTTATGACCGACACTGCCCTTTATTTATCCTCGCATGCAACGAGCCTTACGTCTTACTGATCTGGCTGATCAGGAGGCAATTTAAGGACAACCCTCAGGGTCCTCAAGAATGATTTAACGTCACAGACAGGACGATGATCACAGCTAGTGGATAGATCAGATCCACGCCAGAAATATTTATAGACGGTCTGGTAAGCGTCTGCAAACGACTGGTCAGTCAAGGTTTGCTCTATTAACGCAACAAAGAGCCTTCAATGGACAAAGCAGCATGGCCTGCGTGTACTACTCCTATGGGTTGGCATGGTGACCGTGACCCGTGCTTCGACCAAGACCCTTCAGAGGCACCGCCCTCTCCTGCCAGATGCGCCACCGGGAAGAATGTCGTTTCTCAAGCTAGAGCGCTTACGACTCCTCACAAAAGGGAGGACACTCAAGGTTGGACTCACTTCCTCACGGTAAGAAGAGATTGAGAGGGAATATAAGGTAAGGGAACAACGTACCTTGAGATAGCTGCCCCCAACCGCAAATTTCTCACCAATTGAGCTGATGTGCATTTTGATGACCGGTCATAGCCTCGGTACCACAAGCAACACAATGACGTGCCAGCTCAGCCAAAATGCCATGTCAGCATGCTCTCACCATCCCACGAACATTTAGTGTAGCCACAACTATCAAGTTCTTGCCAAACTCGCCACAGCCTTCCAGCCCCTCACCCCTCTACCTGGGTGGGGCTAACCGAGCCAGCGCCAAGGTATCCTCACTGCATAGAATTTTTGTCGACGCACCAAGTGACCAAGAAACCAGCTATGAATCCCCCCCGGAGGCGGCCATGCGCGGCCTAGGCCGCGACCCCACGGCCATTAAAAAAAAAAAACAAATAAACAAATATTTCAAAATTTTTTGGAAAACAACTATGTTATGCAGAAAAATATACTGAACAACTTTTGCCTTGTGGTCGTATCCAAAAACTTTACTTGATTTAAAAAAAAACAACACATAACGTTCATATGCGAGGATCAGGGTCCTCGGTAGGCCTAAGGGGCCCTGTTTGCAGCATTGCCCGCCCTAAGTGAAGGCGGAGGTGCCCGCCCTAGGTGAAGGTGGGCCTGACATATCGCAAGAGGCCCCCGACGGTCAATTTCATATTTGGGGTCCAGGCAGTTGCGACGTGCCAGTTGGTTGAGAGAAACTCAGGCCGGGCAACAAAGACATTTCCACAGCCCTCCGGGCTTTTCCAAAGAATGCAGGCCCTGGGCGTGATTCGCAGCCTCATACAGAAAAAGTTGGGCGCCCAACCGAACGAGGCCCAGCAGCCCAGTAGCTGCTGTACACAGGCAGCCTCCTGGGGCCTTCCGGAAGCTTCTGGGCCCAGGCCAGGCCAGCCAGGCGGGGCAAGCAGGCCAGCTCTTTCCTTTATGGAAAGAGCTCTCCGCTGGCAGCCTCATTCGGTCACTTGCTGGCTGGCGGCAGCGCTGCTGGAGCAATTGCTCGCGGGCCGGCTGCCGGCATTGGAGCAAGAGGCTGTGCACGTGCGGTCGTGTGTGGGAGCAGGGCGCTGCTGAGGGCAGCGCCATAGCCAGCCTCCATAGCGGGCTGGGCTTGGATACACAGTGTGGCGCAGGGGTGGTCTTCGGGTGCAAGAGAGGACAGGTGTGGGTGTTAAGTCAGGGAAGGGCGAAGGATGATGATCATGATGATGATGTGAGGGCACTTACCTTGTATTGGCGATGGTCAGCATATGGGCGACATCTTCAAGTACTTCGGGTTGCCGCTGATGTCAACAGTTGCATTGTCTATTATTAGGCTGATCGTAGCTGTGTAGGAGTAGGCTGGGCGCTGAGCGCCATGTAGGAGTGTGAAGGGACTGGACTCTTGTGTTGCTGAAGGAGAGAGGAAGCTCTCCATGACATTGGTTTTCAGTACTACGAACCTCCATTGGTGTATTGTTGGTGCAATGCTGCTCTCTGGACACAGTGTGACTATTTGGCTTTTAATGTGATGGTGTAATCTGGATTTGTCATCTCGCTGTTGCTTATTTTCCTTGCAATTTGGTATCTCGGAGCTGGTTCATATTGCGCTTCATTGGTTCTTCGCAATAACTATTGGTGCTTCGCATGAGGTGTGGGGCAGTGATAAGGCATTGGCATTGAACATTGGGCGGCCGTGGGTAGAGTGGGCACGCCAGGGAGCTATGTGGTGACATACGGGGTGTATGCTGGATGATGAGAGCTCGCTGATGTGGCATATTAAGCTGAGGTGGAACCGCATTCTGCTGTTGGTTGTGCCATGGCAAAGACCGGTCATCATAATTGCACATCAGGTTGTCGGTGAGAAATTTGTGGTAGGGGGCAGCATTTATGAGGTACGTTGCTCTCTTCCTTATCTACCCTCTTCGTTACCTCTTACCGTGAGGAAGTGAGTTATGTCTTGAGAGTCCTCTCGATGTGAGGTGTTGCGAGCGCTCAACCTTGAGAGTCGACATTCTTCCTGGGCAGCAAGCTGGTGGGAGACGGGCGAAGCCTCTGAAGGGCCCTGGACGAAGCACTCGGGTCACGGCCACCATGCCAACCCGTTGGGACTAGTACACACATGCTTTGTTGCAAGTCCTTGGTTCTGCTGCTTGCGCAATAGAGGTCATGCAGGGCATGCCAACCCTTTGACAAATGCTTACTAGACCGTCTTTAAACATTTCTGGCTGGAGACTCGGAGTTGAATGTGGCTGTGATCGCCGTCCTGTCTGCGACGTTAAATAATTCCTAAGGAGATGGGGACTCCCCTTAAATCCCTCCTGATCAGCCAGATCAACCGGGTGTAAGGCTCGTTGCATGCGAGGGTAAATAAAGTGCAGGGGCTGGCAGGTTCGGCGTTGACTTGGGGCACAGGGGTGGGCCGGATTGCGCATCTTTAGACACGCTGCTCAACCAGATGCTCAGGACGTTGTCACAAAGTAACCACTCAAGAAGGATAGAGGGGGAGGGGGGATTCCGGTAACTGCTCGCAGTGGCAATCAACAGACAATCTGCCATCAAGCATACATCTCCAACAGGAGATGTTATTTTGATTTTGATTATCTAGTTGTTACAGACTTGACTAACAACTGACAGACAGCTACAGACAGATTAGATATTTGCTGTATAGCAATCTGTTCTAGGATAATCTAAAAATAGATATGATATTTCCTGTAGGATCTGACATTAGTTGTTACTATATCACCTAACTGTTTCTGTTCCATCCGATCGAAATTAGTTGTGTTTCATAATCGGTTGTGTGTCAGGCTAAGGTAGGATTCAGTGTGGATTCTAGTTTAGATCACACACACTGTGGCGCATGAGTGATGCAAGCACTAGTGAGGAGTTGTTAGTGGACGACCGTAGGACTACTCATGGGACTGCTCGTAGTCGACCCTTGACATTCTTAGAGTTAGGTCCAGGAGACGAGAGAAGATTGCGGAGAGAGGCTAGAGAGAGAGCAGCGGCAAGAAGAGCGAGGGCAGCTGAAGACAGTGCCAGGACTAGGGTCTCAACTAGCACCGGTGCAACCATGGCTACCTCATCTATGTCGCAAACATCTACACAGTCCACTTCGTCAGGAGTCAGTCAGAGTGGTTCTCAGGGGTCCATTAGTCAGACTGCTAGCTTGCGAGTCAGCCAGCAGACTCAACTCACGCCGGAGGATTTAGAAATCCGGCAAGCAGAAGAACTTCAGGATGACCTACAACGGCAAATGGGCGAGGCAGCAGAGAGAAGAAGCAAAGCAATCCTGAGAAAAGCTAGACTAGGCAGTAGAAGAGAGGAGCTAGGCAAATTGGAAGGACTAGATGAGGCAGCATTAGACCCTGTTGTTCGTATGCTGCGTAATGCTTTACTATCGGTGGCAGAAGCGCAGAATCTCCAGCAGGAATTGCTGGCCGAATTAGTTGCAGGCCAGAAACAAATCCTGGCTAAACTTCGGGCTCCTCGTACAATGATGGGGCAGCCACAGTTTGCTGTAGTTCCCCCTGTAGGTGCGGGTCCTTCATCGATGCCGCAACACACAGGGCCAACTTTCTCTCCTATGTTTGTCATACCCCCTCCAGGTGGTTTAGTAGCAACTAGTGGTCCGGTTCATAGAGTCTCAACCGTACCATCTACGACAGTGGTCACGACAGTCCCACTGTCAAGCCAGGCCCAGGTTAGTGTGCAACAACCTGTTTCAGTGGGTATGCAACCGCTGCCCATGCAGCCTATGCAGTGGATGCCTAAGATACCTTTGATGAGTCCCAAGCCCTTCTCTGGTGATAGAAATAAGGATGAGGACTTAGACACCTAGGTGAGGACTGTGCCTACTTATGTGAGGCACAAGCTTACCAGGCCAGAGCAAGAAGTTGTAGTGTCTGCCTCCTTTTTAGAGGGGCCAGCAACCCACTGGTTGAATGGCTTAGTGCAACAACAGGGCTACGGTCAAAACTTCGATGCCTGGGCACATGCCCAGACATTGGAAGAGTTCGTACGGTCCGTGTATAACAGGTGGCATGACCCGCAAGGGGCTCAGAAGGCCACCGATGCTATTGTTCCCGTAGGTTCAAGAATGTTAGAGAGCTAACGGACACCGTAGAACGTTTACTCGTGGTACCTGGTGTGCGTTTTGGCCAGCAGGTTATCCTGACGGATTATCTGAGGTGCCTACCTGCAGAGGTAAGGACCAAGTTGGTTGATGAGGCCTTATGTCGGATAGCACACCTTCGCTACTTTTAGTAAGAAAGCTCTGGACATAGAGGCAAAGTTGGGATCCGCGCATCAGACATCTCATGATGGTGGGAGGAGACTTCCCCAGGACTGGAAGAAGAAGGGTCAGCTGATGTTCGTGGACCATGATGGTAAAATGACGGAGATTGACGATTTCCCAGACCTTGGGGAGGTGACAGAGCACGATGGGGCTAGTGAGACTTCGGATGGGGGAGTCGTGACACCCATCAAGGAAAAGGCTAGGGGGACCGGGAAAAAGAAGGTAGTACGGTCCACGGGTCAGGGCGACCAAGGAACACCCGCATGGGTAAAACTTGGTTTAGAGTATGAGGCATGGAGAGACCGAGTTGCTAGGGGCACGTGCATGAACTGTGGCAACTATGGCCACACGTCTCGAACGTGCCGAGGCAAGAAAGTCTTGACGAGGGTAGTCTCACCAACGGTGGTGGGACTTCCTTCGAACTCTGGTGGTGCTTTTGCGAGCACTTAGCAGGGAAACACCTCGGGCCAGTAGGAGTATTAGCTGCTCTTACTTGCGCTGAAGTGGTAACGTTGCCTTCCCCACTTCAGGCGTTGGCCAAGGCTAGAGACCCACGTATCGCACCGCAGACACATTTAGACCCACCGACGCTCTGTTCGAGAGATGTGTCTGAGGCCCTAGAGGAGTTAGAGACTGAGTGGTCAAGGAAGGACCCCAGGGACTCTTGGGCGATGATAAGTAAGGATCCAAAGGGTGAACATTTCGTGGTAGAACTTGATGTAGGTGGCCGAAAAGTGAGCGCCTTCGCAGAAATAGGCTCTACGCGAAATTTCATCAGTTGTGCTTGTGTGGATAGACTGCGCTTAGGGGACCAAGTGCAGCGACTTAGCAGAACTGTAGCTTCTACGCTGGCCAACAAGCACCAAATGTCGGTAAGAGACTATGTCAAGAACGTAGTCTGTACCTTCTCCTATGGAGGAGAGGAAGTGAGCCATAAAATATCCTTCCTTGTTAGCGACGAATTGCCCTTTGATATGCTCCTAGGTATGTACTACCTCGAGGTCGTGCAACCGCAGTTTGACTGGGATAGAAAGGTATTGATTCACAAATTGCCCAATGGTAGATCTTTCAGATTGCAAAAGTTCAAAGCTAGCAGTCTAATAGAAAACTACGGGTGCATGTGTGCATCATCCTTCTATAACTATTATAAGCAGAATCGCGAGGAGGGCATGTATCTAGTATTTGTCTCTGAGAAAGGGGAGGCTGTTAAAACACCCCCAGAGATAGAATCAGTCGTCGCACAATATTCAGACCTTTTTTAAGAGCCCAAAGGCGTGGTGGAAAGGGAGGTTGTCCATGCAATAGAGGTTGTCCCAGGTAGCAAGGTGCCTAGAGGACGAATCTATAGGATGTCTCCTGCAGAGTTAAATGAGCTCCACCGCGAGCTTACGGAGCTCACAGAGAAGGGATGGATTCAACCTAGTACCTCCCCTTACGGCGCTCCAGTCCTATTCGTACCGAAGAAGGGAGGTACCTTGAGGATGTGTATTGACTATAGGGGCCTCAATGCCATCACCGTTAAGAACACGGAGCCCCTACCCCGCATCGACGACCTCTTGGATAGAGTGTTGGGATGCCGGTACTTCACCAAGATAGTTCTGAAGTTCGGATACCATCAAATTGCCATTAGGCCTGAGGATCAACGCAAAACCACATTTCAGACCAGGTACGGTCTGTACGAGTTTGTGGTGATGCCCTTTGGACTATGCAATGCACCTGGTACGTTCCAGCACGCGATGAACAGGATTTTTCATGACTACTTAGACAAGTTTATTGTCGTGTACCTAGACGATATTCTCATCTTTAGTAGGACTGTAGAGGAGCACGTTGAGCACTTGAAAACAGTGTTAGGTCTCCTAAGACAACACCAGTACAAGGTTAACTTGGAGAAATGCGAGTTTGGTCGCACAAAGATCTTGTACTTGGGTCATGAAATCTCAGCTGATGGATTGAGGTCGGATGATGCCAAAGTGGCCAGCATACGTGACTGGCCCAGACCTCAGACTGTTACTAAGGTCAGATCGTTTTTGGGGATGACGGACTACTATCGTCCGTTTGTGAAGAACTATAGTACTACAGCTTCCCCATTGACAGATCTAACTCGACTGGACACCCCTTGGGAGTGGATTGAAGAGTGTGAGGCGACCTTTAGGAAACTGAAGTACGCCCTAACCCACTATGAGGTTCTTAAACTTCCTGATCCTGATAAGTCGTTTGTCGTGACCACAGACGCCAGCCAATATGGCATAGGCGCGGTCCTTGCACAAACGGAGGGGCCCAAGTTGAGACCTATCGAGTACATGAGCAAAAAGATGTCATCTCAGAAACTAGTTAGTCCACTTATGAGCGTGAGCTCTATGCCCTGTACAGAGAGAGAAGGTTAACAACAGTCGTATTTTTCATCACCACTTCAGGAGCCCCTTCACCACTTCAGGATGCAGCCAGTGTGCCTAAACAGGTGGTTTTCAGGGTCTTCGGACCTTTCACCACTTCAGGACCATTCAGGTCTGAAAATCCTGAATGGTCCTGAAGTGGTGAAAGCTCCGAAGACCCTGAAAACCACCTGTTTAGGCAGGCTGCATCCTGAAGTGGTGAAGGGTGGTTTTCATGGTCTTCGAACCTTTCACCACTTCAGGACCATTCAGGATTTTCAGACTGCCCAAAACTCTCACTTAACCACTTCAGGACACCCTTCACCACTTCAAGATGCAGCCTGCCTAAACAGGTGGTTTTCAGGGTCTTCGGACCTTTCACCACTTCAGGACCCTTCAGGATTTTCAGACTGCCCAAAACTCTCACTTCAGAATTTTCATTCGTGAATTTTCAGCTACCCGATAACCGCGTGTGTGTACACAACGCTGGTACATTGGAGACACTATCTCCTTGACAGATTCTTCTATGTGAGATCTGACCATGAGACCTTGCGCTGGATCAAAACTCAGCCAGTACTCTCTGACGCACTCAAGCGCTGGATACAAGTGATAAACATGTATGACTATCAACTTGATCCAATTAAGGGAGAGTACAACAAAGTGGTTGATGCGTTATCTCGCCGGGGGATTATCTGGGCGCACTAGTGACTGAGTTTGACATATCTAGCGATTTGACTCGATCATTGGTGGACGCCTATCAGCAAAATCCAGTTATGTCTGAGATCATCCGTAGATTCAAGTCAAAGGATAAAAAGTTTTTGGACGAATTTACGATGGTAGACGGTTTGTTGTTGCTTGAAAAGGCAGGGAATAAAAGACTGTGTGTTCCCAGTAGTGAGTCTTTGTGTAGTTTTTTTCTAGGAGAATACCATGATGCAACTGGTCATTTTGGATACAAGAAGATATCAGCGAACTTAGTGCAGAGATTCTGGTGGCCTTCTATGATGTTAGATGCAAAACACTATGTTGAAACCTACCAGGTTTGTCAAAGGGACAAACCAAGGACTCATGCACCGCTTGGGTTGATCAAGCCCTTGCCGATTCCTGAAGGACCAGGTGAGAGTGTGTCTATGGATTTTATGGACACCCTTGTGACCAGGAGGTCTGGAAAGAGACACATCTTCGTTATAGTGGATCGTTTTTCTAAATATGCCAGACTAATCGTTATGCCTGAAAGTGCTAAAACTGACCACGTCATCAAACCGTTTATGAATAATTGGGTACGTGATTTCGGTTTGCCTACATCTATCATTAGTGATAGGGATGTGAGATTCACAAGTGAACTGTGGCAGTCAACCGCTGAAAAGATGGACACAAAACTCCAAATGACCTTAGGGAATCACCCTGAGTCAAATGGCCAGGCAGAACATATGAACCGAGTAGTACAGCACCTGCTTAGGCATTATATTAAGCCAAGTCAGGATGACTGGGACGAGAAGTTACCGCTCGTCGCCAGCCTTTACAACAATGTTGTGCATAGTGCTACCGGTATGACTCCCAACCAGTTACATCTTGGTTGGAAGCCCAGAACTGCACTTGACTTTCTGCTACCAGAAAGACAACCCACTGCATAGATTTTGCCGTCAAATATGAGCAGATGCTGCAGCAGGCCGTTGAACATATTATGAAGTCTAAGGATGCTATGATCGCATCTGAGAATAAGCATAGACGACCATCTAACTTTCAGGTAGGTGATAGAGTCTGGGTAAAGTCATCTGAACTAGGTCAGGAGATGGGAATATCCAAAAAACTGATGCCACAGTATTTTGGGCCCTGGGAGATCTTGGACATTGTAGGGGATCAACCGGATGGGCCTTCATACGTGATCCGTATTCATGCAACACCTATGCACTTCCCCTGTGTTCCATGCTTCCAAGTTGGCACCTTTCGCTGCTACAGAGCAGTTCCCTTCAAGAAGATCAATGCTACCCCCAACCATGGATGGCGAGGTGGACATCGACCAGATCGTGGAGCACCGAGTGATGGCTGTTCCTAGATCATCAGGCAGAGGGAGCCCTCCTAAACCGAGAATGCAGTAGCAGCAGTATCGTGTGAGCTTCAGACATCACCTCGATCCCAAGGAAGATCGCTGGTTCACACGAGAGGAACTCATGAGAACAGCACCTCAAGTGATTGCAGGCTATGAAAGAGAACGGAAGGGGAAGATGCCTTCAGAATAAGAGACTTCTCAGAGGACTAACAAAGTAAAGGAGGAGGGAATGCGAGGATCAGGGTCCTCGGTAGGCCTAAGGGGCCCTGTTTGCAGCATTGCCCTCCCTAAGTGAAGGCGGAGGTGCCCGCCCTAGGTGAAGGTGGGCCTGACATATCGCAAGAGGCCCCCGACGGTCAATTTCATATTTGGGGTCCAGGCAGTTGCGACGTGCCAGTTGGTTGAGAGAAACTCAGGCCGGGCAACAAAGACATTTCCACAGCCCTCCGGGCTTTTCCAAAGAATGCAGGCCCTGGGCGTGATTCGCAGCCTCATACAGAAAAAGTTGGGCGCCCAACCGAACGAGGCCCAGCAGCCCAGTAGCTGCTGTACACAGGCAGCCTCCTGGGGCCTTCCGGAAGCTTCTGGGCCCAGGCCAGGCCAGCCAGGCGGGGCAAGCAGGCCAGCTCTTTCCTTTATGGAAAGAGCTCTCCGCTGGCAGCCTCATTCGGTCACTTGCTGGCTGGCGGCAGCGCTGCTGGAGCAATTGCTCGCGGGCCGGCTGCCGGCATTGGAGCAAGAGGCTGTGCACGTGCGGTCGTGTGTGGGAGCAGGGCGCTGCTGAGGGCAGCGCCATAGCCAGCCTCCATAGCGGGCTGGGCTTGGATACACAGTGTGGCGCAGGGGTGGTCTTCGGGTGCAAGAGAGGACAGGTGTGGGTGTTAAGTCAGGGAAGGGCGAAGGATGATGATCATGATGATGATGTGAGGGCACTTACCTTGTATTGGCGATGGTCAGCATATGGGCGACATCTTCAAGTACTTCGGGTTGCCGCTGATGTCAACAGTTGCATTGTCTATTATTAGGCTGATCGTAGCTGTGTAGGAGTAGGCTGGGCGCTGAGCGCCATGTAGGAGTGTGAAGGGACTGGACTCTTGTGTTGCTGAAGGAGAGAGGAAGCTCTCCATGACATTGGTTTTCAGTACTACGAACCTCCATTGGTGTATTGTTGGTGCAATGCTGCTCTCTGGACACAGTGTGACTATTTGGCTTTTAATGTGATGGTGTAATCTGGATTTGTCATCTCGCTGTTGCTTATTTTCCTTGCACATAGTTTTTCTTAAAACAAAAAAAAAAAACAGCTTTTGTCTCAGGAAAGTTAGTTTTTGAATTTTTAAAATTCAAAGACAAAGTCAAAAAATAAAATAAAAAATTGCGCAATCTAGATCTTGAGACGATCTAGAACACCATATGTTTTGTTTTGTTTTTGAGATTTTTTTTAAGTCTAAAAAAAATCCTGAAAGTCGCGGCCGCACCCAACCGCGGCCGGAGCCACGGAGGCCGTGATCACGGCCGCCTTCCGAGTTTGACCCCGCGGCCACGGCCGCAGGTGATACATAGGACACCAGCGCCAGAATGGGAATATCTGGACCAGCTCCGATACCAAATTGCAAGGAATATGAGCAAGAGCGATATACAGAAAACCAAGTTGTGAAATCACACAGATGTCCAAGTAGTCATGTACAAGCAGAGAGCGCAAATGCACCAAGATTCCATTCGGATAAGAGCAATACAATGAACTCACGAGGCAATGCCGAAGCTCTCAGGCCACGCCAACACCATATCCAATGTTGCTCTTACTCTGTCTGGCGCCCAGCGCCCAGCCTACACTACTCGCCTATCCTAGTACACCTACTACACCAGCTTTCACGCAACAGGCTCACTTCGACTTTGAAGACCAATGTACAGGACGTCAACACCATAGCTGACCTCCCTCATGCACCAGGTATGTATCTCGTCTATCCCCTCATCACCCCTGAATTCCCACAGTGTGCATTCTCAACACCCAAAGACCACCATCGCCATCCAGACCTGAACCCAGCAGCCCGGCTATGCCTGCCGTGCACCCACTGCCCAGCAATGCACCTCACAACCCAGCACCCGTGCGCACATCCCAGCCGGCAGCTTCGTGCAGATCACGAAGTTGCAACGCAGCAGCGTGGCCGCATTGCCTGCCTAGGCCAGAATGACCTGCCGAGCGATGCTCACTTTCCAATATGCAAAGTGAGCTCAGCCTCTGCTGCCTCTGGGCCTGGTTGGGCAAGCATCCAGTAGCTTCCAGTCGGGCCTCAATGCCTGCTTCCAGGCCCAGTGGCAGTTACGAGCCTGGGCCCTTTACAGTTGGGTACGTTCAGGCAGTCCATGGGCCTCCACATGTTCGCTGCAATCTCATTGGTCCATGGCTGTTGTATGATGTGTCGGCCTCTGAAAGCACATGCCCAGGGCCTTAACTGTACGGGGCCCTGGTTCAACTGCCCGTCGAGGCTGCAACTTCCGGAAAGAGCCTAAAGAGGTTCACGTTGCTCTGTAACCATCTCACGTGCTGCAGCAGTCTGATACCCACATATGGAAAAATGTCAAATCTTGGCCTCTTGTGAATATTCAGGCCCGCCTTGACTTAGGGCGGGCACAGGGTGTGCTGAGGGCCTCTGCCCAGAACATGTGCATGTCTCTTAAGGGCCCCATGAGGGCTCATTCCCCTGCACAGATACGGCCCCTTTAGGGTGATCACACTGGCCTGTACCCAGGCCTTGGCACATATTGGCAGGCCCGACCACACTTAGGCCGGGCAAGGCCTTTCCCAGCACTGCTGAGGGGTGAATTCCTCACAATAGTTCTTGACTGGCACGGAACTACACTTTGTTCATTTGGGAAAAATGCTGAACTCTAACAAATATGAGTCTGCTGATGCATATGAGTGACATGATTGATTTAAAGCTGAGAACGGAGGTGCTGCCCAGTGATCTTGAAGTTTCCCCTTGTGATAACAGTGGCTGACTGAGAAGTAAGGGGTGTGTGATGTGGGAGGCAATGAGACAATTAGGGCCTCAGGCCGCACGGGATGTGCCCTATGTAAATTGAAAGGGATCTTCATGGTCAGGTTAAACCACCAGTACCTTGCCCAGCTTTTCCAGCGGAGCCAAAATTCGTCCTGTGCGATAAAAAAAAGAAAAGTGATGCAGGCCTGCTTTTGGCTAGCGCCGCCAGTCATTTCCGTCCAGTAACCGAACCCCCGAAAGTTGCGGCGCATTAACGTAAAGGGCCCGCGACCAATGTGTGGGCTAGGTACTGGCGGTTTAAGATGGGACATTATACTCATGTGTTGGCCGGGGTCTTAGTTTAAGCCTCCTGGCCTTGCTTCGCAGTCGCGCCAGTTCGTTTGACTATGGGGTTCTGTGTTTCTGTTTTTTCAACTTTTGTTATTTCTTTTTCTTGAGGATTCTAGTCGCCAGTAGGAGGGAGTCCCCATCTGTCCAGTCCAGGTCCCATTGCAGCTCAGTCCCAGGGAAAGGCCACAACAGGCCAAATCTCTTGTCTGCCATGGAGGGGCCTCGGAGAAGAGTCCGGAATCATGTGGG